CGGTCGAAATGGCGACCGCGTTTGTGTATGCAGCAGCGAGGTCGTCACCCCGATGAAGTCTACCACTGAGACGGTCGCGTGGACCTTGTTGACAGGGCTCACCTCATCAGTCACTAACTAAACTATGTGAGAATGAGGTTGGGTACAGATTGCAACAGTAGACGAGCCCACATATGTGCAGTAAAACAAGGAGCTACACGTGTGTGCAGTCAAACCAACAAAACCCGATGGCAATGATCACAGGAGCTACACGTATGTGCAGCAAAACCAACAAAACCTGATGTAGATCTGCCACTGAAGGGATCGGGTTGGTGTTCTCGATCAGCACGACCAACAACACTACGATGATCTCGACGATGATTAGTACGACGAACGAGCTTCGCCATAACAGGTAGGTAAGCCTACTTACCTTTCTCCTTCTCTCTTTTCCTTGTACGCTGGACTCATGTTACCTCCATCGATAGAATGAGCAACATACCGGCCAACAGGTAAGTCCCCAACCCCGCGGGTGGACTCACACTACCTCCATCGATAGGATGAGCGAAATCGGAATGAATCTTCTGGTAGCTCGTAGCCAAATACATCCTCCGCTGCTGAATGAGGGTGGTTGTGCCTGTGGCCAGCGTTCCTATTTTGGTCTCGTGTCTACGCGCTTAAGAACGATGACAACTGTGACGTAGACGACGAGCAAGGCAGCCATAACGAACTAAGCTAAGATGGCAACCACCTTAACGATGGTCATGATGATTTTTGACAGGAAAGGTGATCATAATGAACATGACCGACGACTCGGTCGGAATTGCAGTGACAACGTCGAGGATAAACCGCCCTTCCACGACGCGATCTCAAGGACGAACACGATGCACAACGTGACCGTGATGGTCCCTTGCGCCACTACTCACTCGACATGCAAAGGAGAAAGAAAGAACCTCCCTCTAGAATGTGGGGAGGTACATACACAGGCAGACCACGGAGCCCGGGCTTTCTCCAGGTAAGCGAAAAAGTAAGTACGAAAAGGTAGAAAATAATAATAATAATAATAATAATAATAAAGAAAAAAGAAGGAAAATAATCTACCGCAAAGTCACGGAGAGATACATCTCTGTTTCATGACTCCCATTACATCTATGATCGTGGTTCTCGCACGCAACCTTGTTTTGTCGCGCAGTCCAAACTAAACTTCTAATCCAAATTCTGAATCCGTAGTTCGATTTGTGAGGCCTCAAAACCTCTGAATTGAATCTTAGTTCACTCGATTTCATGGAGAAATGGGCGATTGTGCACTTTTCTGTTGCGCCATAGTCATGTCTCCGACACCTCCTTGCAACTCGTTTTCCTCCTTGCTATCTTTCTACACTACCATCGTTAAAAGTAAAGCCGCCATCGTGCTCGCCCTGGCCCAAAATATCAAAATCCCCTCTTACTTCGCTTCAATTCGCTAAGTAACGGAGAAGATATGCATTTTTCCACTTCTTCACTCCCTTCCTGTGTCCGCCATCTTCGTCTCCGCTTTTGAATGTACCTAGTGTGGGTTTGCGCCTAGGTTCATTCAAACTTCTTGATCCCTTCGTGCTCCTCCGGCTTGCCTTCGTCATCCTCCTCCTCTTTTCATCCTCCGAGTCCTCGCCTTCGAGTCCTCGTTAGTGTCGAGCTGCGTGTTCTCCCAAACACCACAGAGGGTGTGGATTGACAGACAACAGGACGGTGGTCAAGGAAGTCAAAATCCGCTAAGGAACGTGTAACAACTCATCTGCCAATTCAATCAGCCCCGAATACGGATGGCACTGAAGCGCCCGGCCTAAGCTCGGCCGTCACGACTCCAACCAACGAAAAAGAGGGGCGCTGAGGTCGCTGCGACGCCTGCAATGCGGGCCTAGGCGAAGCGGGTCCCAGGGCAGATCTTGGTGGTAGCAGCAAATCTTCAAATGAGAACTTTGAAGATCGAAGTGGAGGCGGGTTCCATGTGATCAGCCACTGCAATCTGCGGCCTCCGCCTTGGTGCGCCCGCCCCACTGCGCCAAGGCACGACTCATCATCTTTCGGGTCCCAAGGGCATGCCCACACTGCGCCACGGCACGACTCATCATCTTTCGGGTCTCAAGGGCATGCCCACACTGCGCCAAGGCACGACTCGTCATCTTTCGGGTCCCAAGGGCATGCCCACATTCAAACCTCGCACAAACCAAACCGTCTCGGCAACTGCATCCTCTTCCTATTCTTGATGGCCTGGGTGAGTCTCTTTCCATCGACTTCATAGACATGGGAAAGAAGAGCAGGAACGGATATTGACAAGCAATAGTGATCGTTGACCGCTCTTCAAAAATTATGAATTTGATCCCTGTACCACCTCACACCCCAACTAACCTTGTGATCGAGGAGTTTCACAATAAGTACATTCTGCAGTGTAGGCCCCTGAAGACTCTTGTGAGTGACCTGGACACTAGGTTCATAAGTGCAGATTGGAAGGACTTCACCTCCCAGATCTATGACATCAAACTCAAGATGACGTCTGGTCGACATCCCAAAGCCAATGGACTGGCCAAGGAGATCAACCAGACTGTGATCCAACTACTCCGAGCTCTAATTGTGCCTGATCAGAACTCTTGGGATTAGGAATTGCAGATTGTGCAGGGATTGTACAACAACTCCATACACTCCTCCACCGGGATGACACCTAATCGGTTGCAGCTCGGGTTGCAAATTCGCAATCCCCTATCCTATCTGTTTCCTGACCAGCCACCTGGCCAGCCAGGCTACAACGCTAAGTTTGACCGCTTGCTCAAAGTTGTTGTTGCAGCTATGGAAAGGCGACGCAGTGCCATGATTAAGCATGCTAACAAAAAGCACCAGCCTGAACCTTTCACAGTGGGAAGCTATGTCTGGGTCAAAATGTCTGAGTTTTCTGAAGAAGAAGGTGTATCATGAAATCTTCTTCCTCAGTATTACGGTCCGTGGAAGGTACTGAAACAGGTAGGGGAGGATTCATTCGGTCCTTCTTATACGATCAACGTGCCTACTCATTTGTGCACGTACCCAGTCTTTCACGCATCGAAGTTGTTTCCGTATGTACCACCCGAAACTTTTCCGTATTGAGAATCGATGATTCCTCGCGCAATCAATGGCGGTCACGAGATTGATAGAATTGTCGAGCACAGTGGAGTGGAAAAGGGAAAAACAGACAATACAAAGTCCATTTTATATATCACCCGTTAAATGATTTTTATTGGATTGCTAAGAAAGACTTGCTGCAGAGTGCCCCGTGAGTCGTCAATGCATATGAACGACTGATTGCCTCCGAACAACAAACTAAATACCCTGCTACCCTCACTCCGACGGAGCATACCCGATCTCTCTTTGCCATTTACGCTTATGATGCATTATGCAGGGACTCTGAGCGAGCTACTCGCGCGAAGGGACCTCGCTCTTGAGGGGGAGGGGGGTGTAATGACCCGCCATAACACAGAGTGAGAACACTGCTGATTTTCGAGTTCTGCCGATGGAATGGATGCCTTGCTGAGATTCCCGCATTCTGCTGAGTTTTCTAAGTCTGTGTGTGCGTGCTTGGTGACCTGCGTGCCTGTCTGAGTGCTTGTCGGGATGAGTGCGTGTGTGACCCGCAAGGGTACTTGCTTGTTTGGGAGGCCCGGAGGGCCGGTACTTACCTGTGGCGGTGACATTGAGAGTTGCAGCAGGGAAAACACTCGAGTAGCAGGTAGGCCGGTACCGCACCCAGTAGAGTAGATGTGCCGGGTACTCGAGGCCGAGCAGAAGAAGACAAAGTTGGCATTTTTAGAGGCCCAGAACGGTAGGCTAGGCCTAAGCGGGTACCAATCCATCCAGTCTGAGTCTAGGGCCTGTATGGGCAATATCAGTCTGCAATGATGTTTTCCTCTGAAAGGGAGGAGGTACCGGTTGCTTGGGAGGCCGAGCGGCCTGGAAGTCACCGTCCAGGAGACAGGCAGGCCACTATATCTTGAGAGCGGTGGCTGGAGGAGCGCTGGCTTCTACAGCGCTGCTGGGAGGAAGAAGCCTGGTGGAGCTCTACCGGTAGGAGGAGGAGGGAAAAGAGGACCAAGGAGGAGAGTGGTGAGGTACCTACCTGTCTATGGTGGACACCATCTTCATCACCTTGTTAGGCGCTGCATCTGGAAGGCCCCAGTTGGGGTAATGCCGGATCAAGGGAGCTCGGGACAGAGTCAGGCGTGGCGGCTGAATGGGCAGCGGCATAGATGCCTGGTGTTGACCTTGGACAAGAGGGCAGCGACATAGCTGCTTTGGGTTGTCCTTTGGGCAGGAGGGTAGAGCCCTCAGTACTCCGCCATAGCCTCGGCCTCCATGAAGAGGAAGAGGAAGGGTGGTCATGGCTATGGTGGACCCCATGTTGTGCCTGCAGTAGAAGAGGGATTCGGACATTGATTCTGGTTCAGCCATTCAACATTATTATTGCTATTTCTTGTTTGAATAAGAGGGGAGGAGACAAGGAGGAGGAGAGTGGTTGGCGAAGGAGAAGATTGTTATTGGCCTATGCTGGAGTACATCATCTTCTTCTTCTTTCTTTCTTTCGTCTTCTTTTTCTTCTTTCCCTCTCTCTTCTCTCAAGTTCATTCATTTCTTTTTGCAATTGGACGACATTGTACTTTCTGATGAATGTATACTTCGAAATTTGCCAGGATCGTAACAATATGAGTTTTTTTTTCGTACTTCTTTTTTCTTTGGCTCATCCTGTGAATACAGCGGGGGGTGTAACTGCCCGTTGGGAGGGCATAGTCTCACATGTGCCCCGGATTCTGCATGCAGCGTCTTTCACGTCCCCAGGGTTGGTCCCTTTTTTTTTCCGATGAGTACCAGAAAAGAAAACACAATGGCACCCGGGCCTGGCAGATTTCGGTGGGCAGTGAAATCCAGGTTTGGCAAAAACAGGCTCGGAGGTACTAGTGGTTTAACAGATTGCTAGGCCGTGTTGCTGACTGGGTTTTTCTTTTTTGTTTTGGCTTTTGCAGCTTTGTGTCCAGCTTTATCATTTACCCAGTTGTTGTGCACATGATCTGGTCAACCTCTGGCCTCCTAAGTGTGTGGAACCGAAGTCGGGAGGACCGTATTCTTCAAACTTATGGTGTCCTCGACAACTCTGGCTCATTAGTGGTGCATGTGACAGGCGGATTGACATCCCTGATCGGTAAGTGGGTGCTGGAGCTGGGCAAGGTGGTGTCATCGATGAGCAAAATTCTTTAGTGGGTGAATGGTTTGATCCGTGGTTGGGTGGCCACAAACCTTTTTAGAAGAAAATGCAGGGGAGACAACATTGGCATGGATGACTGCTCCATACACAGTAGGGGAATGTATGCATGCAGTGGAGTCAAGCCTTGAGCAGATGTGGGTGAATGGTTTGATTCTCGGTTGGGTGGCCACAAACCTTTTTAGAAGAAAATGCAGGGGAGACAACATTGGCATGGATGACTGCTCCATACACAGTAGGGGAGTGTATGCATGCAGTGGAGTCAAGCCTTGAGCAGAGGCGAACATGTGAATCATAGTCTGGTTTCTGGAAAGGCGGACCTGAACAGTACATGAATACTTGAGATGAGGACAGTTCTTAGCTAGCCTATTCTCGGGGTCTGTGGGAACCATCTGACGGTCATGTCAACCTTCCACTTCACCCAATCAACTGCTGGCTACGTTCTCCCTTTCTTCAGAGTACAGAGTTCAGTGCGTTGCTTTTTCCTTTTTTTTTTGGTTTTTGAAAAGGAAGTGCCCAGAATATGGAGTGATCGCTGGCCTGTCAAAAACCTACGTAAGCTGCTTGTGTGTGCACAGCACATGGTATTTCTTTAGTAAACAGGGAATGGACAGCATGCCAATCGAGTTGCGACTTTCCTTGCTGATTCTTATGCGCCACCAGACAAATGTTTCATGCACGAAATCATCACCTGGAGTCAAGTAGTTCAAGCAGGCAAATAATTTATTTCCTGGTCCTTGTGGCACCGAGTTGTGGGAAGCACTATTGTGTAGAAACTTGCTACGAAGTCAAGGAGACAAATGAATTGAAACTAAACATACTTGCAGCCAACCTCGTGTGTGCCACTCGCGCACACGTAGTGCGGCACACCCCTGAAAATAGGGGTCATCCGTCATTGGAAGAACAATGGACTGACAAGATGTGGCGCTATGCCTCTCCACTCCCCTTGTAAAACATATGAGTACAGGAGGAAAAATTTGGGGCTTTGCAACAGTGGCCCCCAAAATTTGTGTGTGCGTGTGTGCAGGCTATCCCAACTGTACACAACCTATCTTTCACATCTCACACAGTCTTTATGATAGAGCATTGTCCTGGCTTAGGTCTGACGATAGTGAATTTTTTTTGTTTTCTGCTAGCAAGTGGTCGCCTGCCACGCTTGGAGCACAACAGAAATGTGTCATAACAGTTTCTCTCCACAGAGCAACTGTTTGGCTTTATGCGGGTTTACTGCGGTGTTATGTCCATCGGGTACTGCGCCTCAGCGGCATGCGGGTTTCGTGCGGTGCAATGTGAGTCGGATGTGGTGCTATGTGGCTTTGGTGCGGCACTATGGAGGCACGGTCGGTAGAACCACCACATACTCGAAACACACACACATGATGTGGACCGGACGGTACTACCACACACATTGGCCACCAAAAAAAGAGAAAACACTCGGCCAACATTAGGTACAACTTGCCCCAATGCACTGGTTGGTGGTCATATGTGGGACGGGTGTTGCCTCATGGAGTGGGTCATACTATGTGGATTGGGTGAGCTATCTCCGACACGGTCATTATTATGTTTTTTTGTACTTTGCTAACGATACCAAGATTACTCATGAATCAGGAAGCTCCTAGATTTCTGAAAGAACCCCTCTATCCTTCACCCGGGATAGGCTGCTTCTGTTCCCGGCAGTTGATTTCTGTTTTCTACCGGGGAACACCACTGACCCTCTTCATGACTGTATCAGGCCTGAAAGGCAGCTTGTGTGAGTCTCGTGAAAGTGGACGAGGGGATGTTGTGTCCTCGAATGTCTGTGAGCGACCTTTTAGGTCCGATACAGTCATGATGAGTGTGGGTGATGTTCTCAAAAACTGGCTTCTCGCGGACTTCGATGAGGCGTGGTGTCCTCGGATGTATACAAGCCATGTTTCAGGGAGGATGCAGTCATGATGAGGACACTGCGGCCACCCAAAAACAGGAAGACAAGTTTTCGAGAGCACAATGGAGTCTCGCCACTGTCAAATGCGTGTGAGCGCAACATTCTCTCTCTCTCCTCCCCCCCCCCCCCCCCACCCCCCCCTCTCTCCTCCCTTCCTACCTCCCTCTCTCCTTATCTCTATCCCACACATACACCAGCAGCTGCATGCAACCCACTGATTGCCCTGTGCATGCGCATCATCAGTCCTCTCATTGTGTTGCACGTACCGCTCTGCAGGGTGCATCGCCAAGGTGTGCCGCAATTATCAAATTTAGGCAGCAGGCAGGACTTCCCGCCAGATTTTTACGGTTAGGGTGAACGAGTGTATCCATATGTGCCTGCCAATGGTAGACCCGACCCTACTGCCTAGGTTGAAATGATTCATTGCCTTACCCATGGTGGCGTTCCTCTTTGAGTTCTTGTTTTCGGTCTGGAGCCTTAAGGAGTCACTTGGCAGTTGTGGTGGTTACTCAGTAGGGTATTTGCAAAGTTGAGACGACATTCACTTCCGTTTTAGTATTAGGGGCTCAGTGGGGTATTCTGTTGTCCTTCATCCGTCTGACAGATTCTTAAAATTTCTGATGCTTTGAAGTGGAGGCTAGTAGTGACGGCTGTGTATCAGTTGTCTCTCATTTAAAGAAGCTCACAAGCGAGTATTGTGTAGCACAGAGGTCAGGTTGGAAGCTTTGAATTGCCATCCCTCTTCAAGTTCAGCTTCCAAACCTACAGGTTTGGTGGTGGGCTCAGGGCTGGCATTGTCCAAACCTGTCGTAGGTCTAGTGGACTTTCCAAAAAGGACAAAAACTGAACCTGGGATGCAGGATCCGAGGCATGATTCGGAAAAGTCACGGATTTCAAATCCACACCTGCATCCTGCTGCTTTGTGGCTTTTGATGATCTGCTCTGCTGCCTCCCTGATGTCTGGTGGGTCTTCATTGGCACTGGAGAGGGTGTGGCGGTTTGAGTTAAGCAATGGAGGTAGAGAGTTTGTCTGCATGCGGCCTGCTCTTCTCTCTTGCGGAAAGGTTCATAGGGGAACAAGGTATGTGATGTGTGTTCTTTTGGGGTATGGAGTCTTTAGGCCAAGGCCTTGTCATTTTCAACAAGGGGTAGATGTACAGCTTTCCTTCTATTCCAGGGGAAAAGGGAATTGGGATGCCAACAAAGGGATGCTCTTGACCATATCCCTTGACCTATATAAATCTACTTTGGCTCGCTGTCGGGTTTGGCTGCACACATGACCATATAACCAGCACAAAACATTAGACTGCTCATGCTCATTCATTCGTCATCATAGATTAACGGGAAGAAGAATCCCTACCATTGTAGTGTGAGCATCTGTCACCTAAGGACTTATACATGCGTGTATATCATAAATGTGATTTCTATAAGAATAAGAATGCCTTCACTCAGATTCGAACCGACTTGCGTAAGTACTGCTTCCTAAGAGCAACACTTCTCCTTGTTTGATGATGCTGTTGACCATGTTTGTTGGGCTATCTGTTCATCTTCGGTCCACTGTTGCCTTTTGCTGCACTCATGACAATGTAGTGAGCATAAAATATTACAACTTGTCATCTTCATTTGCTCATAAATTAATGGGAAGAAGAGTCTGGCTTGTGAGTACGCCTTTTTGGATGTTCTGGAAGTATATTGAAACGGTTCTCACCTTTCTGCAGTCACAGATGCGGGCCCTAGAGTTCGGTCCCCAGACCTCACTTTGCCCATGTACAGTATCGAATCGACACCCGAGTGTTTGAACCCGTGACCTGTGTTTTGGTAGTTGTTTGTCGTCTGTCGTAGGTCTGTGTATTGGTGGGGGTTCGATCTGTAGGTCTGGCGATAGGAGTCACAGCTTTGTAGAGGTCGTAGCTGTAGGTATTTTGAAAGGTCAAGGTCGTAGCTGCGACAGTCCTGAAAGTTCAAGGTCGTAGCTGCTACAGTACTAGAAAAGCCAAATCCACAGACTTCCGGAAGGTACGGAAGTGGCCTTTCGAAATGTCTCACGTTTAGTCAGAGGCAAGTGGGCAAGTGGTGAGCCGAACTGCGTTACGTCGGCAGTGCGACTGCATCGAGTTGGCAGTGCAAACCCATGCAGTCAGCGGTACCGGTCCCAGTCAGTCAGCGTCCAGTCAAGCAAGTACCGTGTGGGACTGTGTGCACCAAGGGCCTGGGAAAGGGCCAGACCAACGAGCTACAGAAGTATAAATCAAGAGGTAGTGCCCATCCATTCATTGATTCACTGCGTAAGCCATGCGGAAGCGCTGCTACAGCGTCTTGTGCGAAGGTGGTCTGCAGGTTGCCCGAAGACGAAGTGGGCTGAAGGGAGATCGTAGCCATAGTCAGTAGTGGTAGTGCGGCCATAGCCGCTGTAGGAGGAAGTGAGATTAAGCGTGTGTGTGTGGTGGTATTCAGGGTGATCCAGAGTGAGCGTGTGTGAGCAGTGGGGTTAGACACAGTGACGAAGGTTGGGATCTTCAGGCGCCGATGCGCCATAGCTTGTTGAAGTGAACTTGCATCTGAACTGTGTTCTTGATTTCCATATCTCTAAGCCTTGAGTGGGTGCCCTGTGCCAGTGTGAATCTCCATCTGTTTGTATGTATGTGAAGTGGAAGTGAAAGCGAGTCTGATTGCATTGGTATCGGAGCTGGTTCCCGTTACCGCACGCACCATTGTCGTTGCCAGCAGGAAGACGACGCGCCCCAGTGGGCGCCATGCTGAGGTGCACTGAAGGAAGAAAAATCCGCCATAGCTCTGTTGCGGAGTGAAGTGCCGCGTACCTGCATAGAAGACAACGACGAAGAGAGAGAGAGAGAGAGAGAGAGAGAGAGAGAGAGAGAGAGAGAGACAAGATTGTTGTGCAGACCGAAGAAGAAAGCGGCCATAGCCGCGGAGCTCGGACACAAGGTTATCAAGAGGAACAAAGGTGAAGTGGAGGAGAAGGAAGGAGAGACGAAGGAGAGAGAAGCCATAGCTG